TTTGTGAAGCTATTAAGCTAATGTTAGCTTTGAGTTATTTCTTTAAATAGAGGCTCACAACTCAAAGCTAACATTAGCTTAATAACTTCACAAAAGTATTTTGGGACACACTGGAACCCAAAAAATATATACATACATTCCAAATGAAGTAAGCTATCATCACATACTGCATGTCAGTGCGCAGTATATTATATACTATATAATGTACTATACTTTACTAGAAAGTCACCTTCGGCTTTTCCCGTTAGAGTCCCACCAACTTCTAAGATGCCCTGTCTGCGCCCTACACAGGCAGTATTGCATGAATTCAGCTTAAGCAGTATTTAATCAGAGCATGATACTTTTAGAGCACAAGCTGGTACACATTTTTCTGACTTTACTCTCTGTATGTGGACATCTTCTGAAACTTAGATCATTCTTTAGGATGAAAGGAGCCTATCCTAGCATTTTCCTTGTGTGGACCACCCAAAAGGTCCACACAAGAAGAAATGTCCACACAAGAAAGGTGTTCTGTCAGGGGTTGGTTCGCACAAGTATATAAAGACAACCCCCCGTCCCCCCACCCCACCCCACCCACACACACGTACAAACACACATTTGCACATACAGAAAACCAACAAGTTTCAGAAGATTCTGACTCTCACGATCTCCAGTTGCCATGCCCACCCAGTGAGTCAATGTGATTGGTTGTAGTGTGTGTGTGTGTGTGTGTGTAACTTTACTCCCACCATTCTGCCACATGTCAGCAGTTGCTCACTCATGTTTTACACACACACATACACGCACAGAATTACAGCAAGGCTCTACAGATAAGGACTTGTCCATGCATCCATATAGTCACCACAAGGCTTCAATATACCCTTACATAACTCATGCGTTATACCTTTCATGGAAATGTTCACTCCAGTAACCCCACACATATTGAATACTAATATAAAATGTGTCAGTCTGTTTATTCTAATTATTGAGGCTCCAGCTTCATTTAAATCACTTTGAAACAATCTGAGGTCTGAGCCTGACCTGAACACTGCTACAAATCAGCAGGTCCCCTCTTTTTTACAAGCAAGAGACAGAAAATGCATAAGTGACAGAGGCTAGAGTGACAGAGGTTTGTTTTCTGATAAACCAAATGGTGTTTCCTAGATGCAGGGTATCAGGCAAAGGAGCATCTTGTGATGAGATGGCAGGAAAACAACCACATGCTCACACAGGAAATAATCAAAGAGAAGTTAAAAAACATGTATATTTTACCGTTTATGGTTCCAATTAACTTAGCAAACACTCAGACTAATTATGCCATCCCCTCTCCTTAATATTTCCTGTCATTCTGCAGAAACCCGCAGAATAACAAAGAATGCAAACAGTTTCAATCCTGCACATTTGTTTCTCTGGCACAGAAACAAATGTTTCATCAGGCCAAACAGTTCCACGGGAGTCCATAATATTGTTTTCATCCTCCTCTAAAACCTCAGCTCAGCCAGTGCCCTGAACATATGACCAGTTCAGACTGTTATTTTGACATTTGACTACAAAACACACCTCTGTCTCTGTTCCTACTTGTCATCAAGATGAGCTGCAAAGGCCATTTCTGTTTTCTTCACGTTCTATCATTAAACTCCTGAGCAGGTCTCATGTTTACACTTTGTCTCAATCTCTTCCTGACACACACACACTGCAGAAGTTGCATCAATGCACAATAATGTAGCAACAGCATCCTGTAGTGAACTGTGCGTCATCCTGCCTCTTGTTTCTCACTGTGCATCTTCTTTTCAACCTTTGTGCATCTACAGACTGACAGTGAAAGCAGACTGGGAGGTGCCTAGTGCAACAAGCAGCAGCTAGGAGGTCAATTGTCCTGTTCAAGGGTGCCATAACTGGGCCAAGCAAGTTTTCTAACCTTTAGGATAATGGAGTCCTAAAAATTCACCCTACAGATTCCAAGCAAGCAGGTTTATGGGGCTAGAATACTAGCACATCAAACTGACAGTCATCAGGAAATCAAACCCACACGTTTACGCTTACAGCACATGTAAGCCTTGATTGTTCAGCATCCTCTTCCTCATTCTATACTCATTTAGACAATGTGTGGTAGCAGTAATAAGATGCACTGCAGCATCCGTTTACACACACAAAATCAACTGTTAATACCAAAAAATTAAAGCAGGTTAGCTGAAGGAACACAGTGGTGAAAAAACAAAACCATGAGTAAGAGAAAAGAAAGTGACTGAGATACGATGACAGACAAAAACCAGGAGAGGATTCTAAGAAAATGGCAACAATTCTGCATCTCTCAACTGTGTTCCAACATTTTACAAATACAAATTTGGTCCAAGGAGATGCTACTGCTAGAGGACAATATTGTAAACATTTAATAATGAGTCGACCAACTACTTTCATCAAGTTCAGTAACACCTCCTCTTGCACTAAACAAGTCCAATAGCAGTTGTTATTTTTTAATGGCAGGTCTAGTGATAGAATGAAGCATTCATGGGGGGGGTGTTTGGGCATTGTCATATTTGGGAAACTAAGACAGTGGTCCTTGTGATACCACAGCATTCACATTCAATCTCAGTAAAACCTTCACTCAAGGCACATAATCCATGCACTGCAATTGAATTCAAAGCAACTCAAAAGTGAGATCAAATCATCCTAACCAAAAGTGATCCTGAAAGAGCAAATTCTGAGCAGGACTGCAAATTGTAAACTCTTGCTGATAGCAAACATCAGAACAAAATGCTTCCCAGGGCTGCACTTTAAAAGACCAGGGCCCTTACAGACTTTATTTATATATCCAATATCAATGAAAGCATCAAATGCATGTCCCTGTAGCCAGGATATAATCTGCACCAGTACCTTAATCTCAATTAGACTGTTATTCTTACTTCATGAACATTTATACAGGAAAGCATGTGAATGAGTAGGAAGTTGTGATGAATCAGCAAGTTCACAATCTCAAGGTTAAAATAGAACATACAGCACTAGAAACAGTAAAATAAGATTAAAATAAACACTTGGAATGGAATTTCATCACCCCAAGGTCTACAACAACCACAACACACAAGTGAAGCCCTGATAAACAGGAAGAAACAGAGTCTGAACTTACCTGCAGCTCACACCATGCCACTTCCACAGTAGTCTCTGTATCCAGTCCCTTGTACACAGTCTTAAAGGACCCTCTTCCAATCTCAATGTCAAATTTCAGGAAGCGTCCATCTGGTGATGTCCCAACAGCCTTTGTCTCCACCTCCTCATCCTCTTGCACTCGTTTCTCAGCCTCTTTCTGCTCTGCTCGTGTTTTCACTAGACCCTTCTCCTCCTCCATCTCCCTCTCCTTCTCCTCTGTCAGACTACTAATGCTTCCCTCGTCTACATGTTCTATCAGCTTTCCATCTTTTTCCAAATGTTGTGTATTCTCGGACCCTCTGGGACATAATGCAATGTCGGACTGTTTGCCTACTGTTTTGTCTATAATATCCAATACTGTCAGGCAGGGCTCTTTTACTGCCCCATCTGTGCCATGTTCAACACTGCTACAGGTGGGAACAGGAATCGAGAACCCCATGCCTAAATCTTCCTCAGCATTTTGTGTGTGTGCCTCCGCAACTGCCCCACTGAGCCCAAGACCAGGCTGAAGGGTTGTGCCTTGTAAAGAGGAATTTCTTGTGGCCTTCCCGCCTTCAGCGCCTCGTACCTCAAGTCCAGGCCCTAAGGGCTCTGATGTGAAGAAGATGGAAGCCCCTTCACAGTCAGGAGGCGAGGTGAGTATCACAGATGCTTTACTGGGCAGGTCTAAAGCTGTGGCATTGGAGTCACAAATGACACTCCGACGGAAGAAACGATGCTCAGCTGTTTTTGAGTCTCTATCCATCGTGTGGCGCCGATGTGTGACCTCAGAGTCTCTGCCACGCTTCTCCACCAGGTGGGGGCCTGAACCGGAAGAGCTGTTCACATTCATGTCGGGCGTTTGGGATGATGGACAGGGGGAGGCAGAGGGAGGAGGGGGAATCGGGGCAGTGAATTTCACCTCTTTGCTGCTTTCAGACATTCTTCAGGCTCCAACCACAGAATAGAATTTCTATACTTATAAATAAGGCTTTGTGTGTCAGCAACCAGCCCCAACCTATGTGTAAACTGTATGTGGGCACAAATCCCAACCAGCAATCTTCTATTTGAAATGAAAAGCTCTCCAAAATCCTGATCAAACTCAAAAAGCAAAAGAGATGGGTTACAGAATGCAACACTCTTCGTTGTGTTCTTTCGTTTTTTGAACAGACTTATTAATTCTACTTCCTCTTAGCAAATTCAAGTTGTTTCAACAAGACAACTTGCAGTTCCTCAAAGGCCCCTCTGTACAGGGCTCAGAGAAGCCCCAGGAGAGACAAAGGGGCTTTCTCTTAGAGAATGGGGAGGGAAAGGATAAAAGGCAGTCAAAGGAGGGGGGGTGCAAGTGCTGCAATGAAGTGACACCTGTCAAATCAACACCTGAATCCATCCTGCTGCCAACATCGAGAGAGCAACCACCATGACATGGAAGTACTGGAGTTCTAACAGACCAGTGTACCACAAAGTGTGATTGGAATCCAATCTGTAATGGCTTGAGGTTTTCGAAAAACAAGCTGAAGCCTCCCCTGCTCGTTGAAAGGTTGAAGCTTGAAGTCCCTGGAGAGGTTGCTGTCCTGCTTGGTAAGGCCAGACAGAAGACTAGGTAGGCCTAGCCTGGCCTAGCCTAGCCTTGCCCAGCTTGTTCTGCTTCTGTTCTTATGACCAGAAAAAAAGAGAGAAGGAAGAGAGTTGTAAGATGAAGCAATGTTTTCTTTATAAACCAACAAAGTCAACATATGCTTTCACTTTCCTACATAACGGACCCAACAAACTTCAAAGGACCCCAAATGAAACATACTTCCCTGCTGAAGTGCCTGGTAGAATGTACAAGCTATGACATTTTACCACTGTCTGGCAAATAATGAGCAGCACAAATTGGGTGGGAAATGAACACCAGCCAAATACTGCCACAAGCTGTCACTTCCTCTGACTACTAATCAGAGAGCCATCCCTCGAATAGAAGTGAATTAAAAAGTTGTGTTTCTCATACCATAAAGTGGTGTTAGAGGACTCAGCTGTACTTTGGGCCCACAAAAAACTCCTGTCCTCTTGGTTGGGATTTGTCAGTGAACATTTGAATTGGGTTAAGCCTAGCATGATCTTTAATCTCCTGCTCAAGCTTGTTAGCATGGAAATAGATCTGCATCCTATCCCAATCTTTCCCTCCCAGTTGCCCCTCTATTTTTGATGCAGTGGAGTGTGGATCTAATTGCGCCATGTTCCAAATGTAGCCACCACAGCATGGCTGACCTCAAGGATAGGCTTTTCTTTGGCAATTCAACAGTTTAACGTGAGCACTCACATTAACAAACACAGCCACTGTGCAGGAACTAAAGTATATCTTAGGACAGTGTGTGTATTGCATTACAGAAAATTTAGCAAAATGTAAGAAACATAACTTCTATACTGTTGTCATAGTGGCACCAACACAGAGGATCATCAGCTGCTTCAGTGTGGGTTGTCATTCACACTACAATGATTCATGTTTTAAAAACAACCCATAACGAGTTTTCAGAAGTCTTATCTACAATGATGCCAAAACAAGCAGAATAAGCATCATATTTTCATTCAGTCATTTGTTTTTTTTTCTCAAATAAACTCTTGTGAATTGGGATTTAAAATTACAGTAGGCAACTGTGTGCAAAGTGTGTCAGTAAAGCTGAGAACTACACAAACCATCCTCACATCTATCAACCCAGACGGTGTGCAACCACTTCGTATGACAGTATGTGCTACAAAAGGGTGGAAAAGGGCCAAAACAGTCTTATATTGCTAAGTTATATTTCCACTGCAACACAGAGAATATGAAACATGCAGTGTTCATTATATATTTTTTAACTGTACTGATGGTTTCGTAGCAGTGACCATAATATACTGTAAAAGATTTATTTGGCCCCAGAGGCAACACAACTGTATTATCTTAACTAAAGGAAATGGGTGAAGGATTCATACTGAAGTGTAGTTATGTGCCTTAAGACCACTGGTTAGAATCTGACAGCTTTTTTCCACCATTTTGAATTTAAAAAACATATCCTGTGCATCATGGAGAGGATATGTTTTATATATGTTTACACAGGATATGGTCTTTAACCAAAATGGTTGAAAAGAAAATATTCGCTGATTCTGAGCTACTGAAAATTTTAATATCTAAAATTACTGATTGGCTCTGGTTTGTAAGATATGGCATTGGCAATGTGTGAAATTTGCTTAAAAAAAAAAAACAAACAACTTCCAGAAGCAAAGGTCTCTGAGCAACATCATAAACTGTAGCCAAAACTCTTGACAGAACTAGTGACAAAACTATTTGCCTTTGATACAACCAGGTTCTTAGGTGAAACACTGGGCTGGTATTGTCTCTCAAGCTGTACAAGAACATTTTTCATTTAACTAATGCACTTATGTTCATACCTCAGCTCAAGACATGAAGATCTTTCGTGTATGCATCAGTTCATATTGTCTCTTGATGTCAAAAGGTGTCACCTTTTCGCATGCTGGGATAAAATATACAGTGGATCCAGAAAGTATTCACAGCACTTAACTTTTTCCACATTTTGTTGTTATGTTCCAAAACAGATTAAATTCATTATTGTCCTCAAAATTCTATAAACAATACCCCATAATGACAATGTGAAAAAAGTTTGACATCTTTGCAAATTTATTAAAAAAAAAACAAAATCACATGTACATAAGTATTCACAGCATTTGCTCAATACTTGTTGAAGCACCTTTAGCAGTAATTACAGCCTCAAGCCTTTTTGAGTATGACGCTACAAGCCTGGCACGCCTATTTTGGGGTAGTTTCTCCCATCCTTCTTTGCAGTACCTCTCAAGCTCCAACAGGTTGGATGGGGAGTGTCACTGCACTGCCATTTTCAGATCTCTCCAGAGATGTTCAATCGGGTTCAAGTCTGGGCCATTCAAGGACATTCACAGTGTTGTCCCGTAGCCACTCCTTTGTTTGTTATCTTGGCTGTGTGCTTCGGATCGTTGAAAAACGATCGCCCCAGTCTGAGGTTCAGAGCGCTCTGCAACAGGTTTTCATCAAGGATGTCTCTGTACATTGCTGCAGTCAGCTTTCCCTGACTAGTCTCCCAGTTCCTGCCACTGAAAATCACCCCCACAGCACGATGCTGCTATCACCACGCTTCACTGTAGGAATAGTACTGGTCAGGTGCCTGGTTTCCTCCAGACATGAGTTCAATTTTTTTTCATCAGACCAGAGAGTTTTGTTTCTCATGGTCTGGTCAGGTGTCTTTTGGCAAACTCCCGGTGGGCTGCCACATGCCTTTTACTGAGGAGTGGTTTCCGTCTGGCCTCTGTACCATATAGGCCTGATTGGTGGAGTGCTGCAAAGATGGTTGTTCTTCTGGAAGGTTCTCCTCTCTCCATAGAGAAACGCTGGAGCTCTTTCAGAGTGACCAACGGATTCTTGGTCACCTCCCTGATTAAGGCCCTTCTCTCGATTACTCAGGCCGGGCAGCCCACTTTAGGTGGTTCCAAACTTCTTCCATTTACGGATGAAGGAGCCCACTCTGCTCATTGCGACCTTCGACGCCGCAGAAATTTTTCTGTACCCTTCCCCAGATCTGTGCCTTGATACAATTCTGTCACGGAGATCTCCAGACAATTCCTTGGACTCCGTGGTTTTATTTGTGCTCTGACATGTACTGTTAACTGTGGGACCTTATACAGACAGGTGTATGGCGTTCCAAATCATGTCCAATCAACTGGACTTCCCACAGGTGGACTTCAATCAAGTTGTAGAAACATCTCAAGGATGATCAGTGGAAACAAGTTGCACCAGAGCTCAATTTTGAGTGTCATGGCAAAGGCTGTGAATACTTAAGTACATGTGATTTTTTTTTTCCATTTTTTTTTTTTTATAAATTTGCAAAGATTTCAAATAAACTTTTTTCACCTTGTCATTATGGGGCAGTGTTTGTAGAATTTTGAGGACAATAATAAATTCAATCCATTTTGGAATAAGGCTGTAACATAAAATGTGGAAAAAGTTAAGCGCTGCGAATACTTTCTGGATCCACTGTAAATGGCTACAGCCAGTCAGCACCTCAAATTCCCTAACAATTAGCACATTGCAATTGTAAAACTACAGAAAACTTTAAAAACAATTTGTAAACCTATGTTATTTGTATAATTATCTTGGTTGAAATAATCCTTCAGATTATGGAGCCTGGAACTATTTTTCTTGAGATGGCCTTAATGGTCTTAATTTCCAACCCAGTTGTAGACACTACCTAAAATAATCCTGACAGTGCTCCTCAGTGGCAGGGTTGTTTCATCTACTGCAAGTCATAATTTCTCAATATTTCACTGGACAACATCACATTTACTGCATACTATAATTTGGGGTATCATTAAACCTAACTGATCCCATACTCTGGTGAAATTAATTAAGCTTGTTGATTTTGAGAGCACCTATATGTCTGCTGTTGTGGCATGTATGACTTGTAGCCTAAATGAGATGTTTTTACAATGATTTTGCAGCGTGAGCAGGGCCTATAATCACCAAGTATAAAGCCAGCCATTAAATACATAAGATATAGTAGATAAATATTAAATAAATCTTTTAACTTGAAATCTATAATGGCCAATGGTGATTTTAGTCAAATGTATAAAATCTGTATTTAAATTACCTAAAATATGACTTATAAAATCATGTTTCATATAACAGGTAAATAATATATTCATACATTACTGTCATCACAAGTTTGCGGCAACAACCAATGAGTGGTGGAAAGTAACTAAGTGCATTTACTGAAGTACTGTACTTAAGTACAATTCTGAGGTATCTTTAGTTTTCATTTTCTGCTACTTCATACTTCAACTTCACTACATTTCAGAAAAAATATTGTACTTTGTACTCACTATATTTATTTGATAGCTTTAGTCACTAGTTACTCTTCCAAATGAGGTTTATAAAACAAAATACAGTATTATTGATCCTTGGTGTGAAAGTGACAAGCAACCCAGCAGTAATTCAAATTATAAGCACATATAAAAGGTAGTTACGATTAGCTCTACCTTTACTAGCTGCAGCATTAAATGTGATGCACATTATAATTGATTAATATGACGTACATAAGTGTGAACTCTGCCATTTTGCATAATGAATGCTTTTACATTTGGCACTTTAAGTATATTTTATGCTAATACTTTTTACCTTTTACTTAAGTAACATTTTGAATGCACGACTTTTACTTGCAACAGAGTATTTTTACATTGTGGTATTCCTGCTTTTACTTTAAACAATCTGAGTGCTTCTTCCACCACTGCGACTAGTTTTCCCTTTAATAGCCTGAAATTTGCCTTGATAGCAAAAGCAATATCACTCAAAAGCGAAATGCGTTACAGAAAATTAAATGTAGATTTAAAGCCTTTGTGTAATATTAGCAAAATCACACATTTTACCCTTACTGAACGTCAATCCTAACAAATATAGTGCACAAACGTTCCTGTATGGCCAAAATAGGATAATAAAATGAATAAACACTTAGATGAATTCTATTTGTTATGTTCACTTCATTAAAACCGAA